GTGCCTTGACTTTTCACAAAAGTCAAGCATACCAACTTCACATCAACTTTCCCAAATGAAAGTTTTTATACTTTATCTATTCAATGTGCTTGGCGAAGTCATGCAAATAGGATTGTGAGCATTGCAAATGACAAACTTGTCATCAAAATATTCCCATTGTCTTGAGCTTCTGTCTTTATTCTTCTGTGTAGAGGCTTTCTAAGTCATTTTATGCCTTATATGGGGCTTGGCCATGGGTTCTATAGTGGTGGGAGTGAACTACAGTTAGTTTACATTAAGTCGTTTTTGTACATGGTTTCTGGTAATTTCAAATAAATTGGGCCAACCAAACAGGTAACGAAATGAATTAAATATCAATTGGCATTGTTGAGCCTGGGCTTGTTTCACCTCTTAAACCCCAGAAGTTCTAATAGTTCTTCACAATCCTTTTTCCCATTTCTCTCTTGTTTACTGTTTATTCAATAGACATCTAATGTCACTAGAGTTTGCATGGTGGTTCCTCCAAGGTTTACATTTTTTATTTAAAGGAATATTTTAATGCTATAAAATTTCAACCTGATGGAAGCATTACAAATAATAAAACCTCACTGTGGACTTGCAGAAAATGATAGTGTAAAACTAACCATATATAATGAGCAATGCAAGATCAAAAAAGACGGTGCATATGCAGCCATATAGGATACAATGACAAGAAAAGGCAAGCAACTTTTTCATCTAAATTATATAATTATCAAAAATTCGAAATCCCATTGATAGATAATGGGAAATTTCTTCGGACATGTCAGCAAATTTTGCAGATATGGCAACCACAAGTACCACATCTTCTATCTGAGCTTAGAATTCATTGACTTCCAAATAATTAAATTATTTCAACTTTCATAATTTTATAATAGGAAATACTGATAAAGATGAAAATAGAGTGAGTTCCACCAAGTCAGGAAAGATTTTCTTTATTTAGTCTCTTATAAAACCTAACCCACCCAATTACATTCTACCTACAATCTATGCTGACCCTTCTCAAATGAAACCTAGTTTTTACAAATCCTTAAACTCATTATGTCTAACTGTGCTCACTTCCAGTACCAGATCAGCATGGTTGTCAAGGGATCACCTAGGCACCCTTGGTTGGGTGCATGGCCTGACCACCTTGACTTATAGAAACAAGACACATTTAGACAATAAGCACCCCCAGTAGGCAGTAGGCAACAAAAACCACAAACCAGGCGCTTTATTATATACTATATCAATCATCTATGCTTTGTTTTGAAGTTTTGCTATTGAAATTTAAAAGATCCAAGGGATTTTAGAAGAGAAAAAAGAAAGGGATTTTAAAAGATCCAAGGGAGTTTTCTTTTTCTTTTGTTTTTCTATTCTCTCTCTCTCTCTCTAATGTTAAATGAAACAGCAGCTCCACCCTTGTTCCTTCCCTATTTTATTTACTCTCTATCTTAAAATTTTATCATATAAAATTATAACCTTCTTTAGTAGATAATTTGATATGATATTGCTCTATAAAATAACTATTACATCAGTATTATTTTTGAAAATATTGGAAAATAAATATTTAAAACACTATTGTCTTTTAGATAATGACGATTTGCCATTTTTGAGAGGAAACTTAATTTTATTAATAAGGAGAGTTGCTAATTTTATTCAATAAAATGCTTATCACCTAGGCGCCCCACTGTTGCCTAGAATTGCCTGGACGCCTTTACAACTATGCAGCTCAGCATAGTAATGTCCACCCACAAGCCACACATATCATTCTTTGGCCCTTATTCAACTGTGAACTGACTATGCTAAGATGAAGAATGCCTATCAGACACCAAGCTCTATGAAACCACGAGAAAATTAGGAAAAGAAAATGCCATCTGACCTCCATGTATCAGGTTGAAGCTTTAAGAGACTACTTTTCCTGTATCAATAACTAAAAAGAGTTGGATGTTACAGCCAGACTCGTCTCTTCCAATGTAAACCAAAAGAAGACAGAACAGGAACATTCTTCTTAAATGACCTGAGTTGTGATATTTGATGTCAAAAGAGTTCCTCGAAATCCTGCCTCTGTTTGCTCTACCACCATTTTCCCTTCCGAGAGCTCATCTGCAAAAGCTTAACATTAAGCAAGTATATTGACACATCCAGGAAAAACAATTTTACCGCCCCATTCTATACATGAGGTTCTGAACCAAGAAGGTCCAGATCCCATCAAATGGATAGTCTTGTAGTCAGTCCCCACCGCTTACACAAATGTGTAACATAACATGGGCAAAGATGGATTCTCTCCATCCTAATATGACATTAATAAACAACTAGTTACACACTTACAAAAAAAAAAGGAAAAACAAACACCATAACCTTCCCAAATGTTGATTTGCTTGACATTCAAACTTACCAGCAATATCACGATTCTCATGGACTTCTGAATCTGTCACCCACAGGACATCACCAGAAAATATATTCATGTCAGCTAAAGTAGCTGATTCCCCATCAATAACCCTGGAACCTTTATGAAGTATCTGATTCTCCTTGACAACCTGGAGATATTACCAAGTCAATAAGGTCTTAAGAGGGAAATAAAATTATTAACTTTCCATACCATATAAAATAGACCAAAGGGCACAAAATCTGGGTTCAAAAAGGAAGTGAAACAAAATGGTAAGATTGCCAAGGAATGTAGAGAAATCATTCTGGGGTCTGATTCCACAAATTCCATTTAAGTCAAACTGCAGCAGTTGCATTAACATCATAGCTATCAAGGCAACAGGGGGCACCTTGTTGCCTAGATGCCTAGGTGTCACCTAGATGATGAGTTTTTTCTTCTAACTAAAAGGTAAAAATGTTGTACACTAGGGTAATTCCCTGGGTTTCATAGCGACCAGCAACCATCGTTCACTAGTAATTAGTAACATGTTTTTTTATTAGTAGCATGTAACTTTATTGATTTGAGAAAAGAATTGGATATATTTACAAGAATGATAAAGTGCCAAGCACCCCAATCATCCCAAGTAGGGCTGTAATCGGACCGGATTCAGCTACATCCGCATCCGATCAAATTATTGAACCTTTGAATCCAAATCTGAAATGTCAAACTCAGATCGGATTTAATCCACATTCAACTTATTGTGCTTAAATGGCAAAAAAAAATAAAAAAAAATACTTTTAGCTTATACATGTATAATAAATGTATATAAATATAAAATATTAAACTTATCAGTTATAACTTTATATAATTGTAAATAATATCCATATAAATACACAAGTATATACATAAAATAACTTTTAATCGGATCAGATGGAGTTAAATCTGCATCTGACCCAATTATTAATCAGATCGAAATTCTAACATCCAAATCTGGGATAGTAGGAGTCGGTGCCAAATTGGGTATTGGACTTTTGAAGTCCTTTTTGGATTTTTTTTTTTTTTAAAACTGGACTTTTGAATTTTTGAAGTCCATTAACAGCCCTCTTTATATATCCTTTCCATTTGGATCCCCTCTTTAAATATCCTTTCCATTTGGAATTTTTTGAATTAACCCATCTATGTTGTCCAAAATATCTTCCCTGCCGTGAAGGGAGAATTGATTTTTGCGAAGCTGGATCCACTGCAGAGGAAACATTATTGAATGCAGATAAGGTTTAAAAAAATGTGACCATTGGATTTAATAATGTGAAATTTGTTTATTGGATATTGGAGATTTGTAGTTAACTTGAGAACTTTGTCAGCAATATAACATTTTCTAGAAACTTTCTAATTGCATATGAAACAACCATGCATTCCCAAGATGAAAGGAAAAAAGAATTCTATCCTGAATTAATAGTTTTGTGGTCTGAATATCAAGTCAATATGGGATGAAAAAATCCAGCTTGCTGCAATAAAAGTTAAAGATTCATGATGAGAGGAAAGTAATGCAGCTTTGTTAAAAGCTGCATCCAGACAATGGGATGGTCAATGACAAATTTCTTAACAGGGCACCCTTTTGATATGCATACAATTCTTCAGAAGCTAGAAGCCCAGAGCCAACATTCAACCAAATTTAATATATACATCCAAACTATGAAGTGGTCAAATTTTCTTCTTTGTAGTTTGTTTTCTGTTTCTTCCTTCTATAACTTTCTTTTCAATGGATCTTTCATAATGTGCCAAAAACACTAGAGACCTTAAAGAAACCTCTAAAAATAACATAAAAATTGTACAAGTTACATATTTCAATTCAACTAGACAACCCAACTACTAGAAGTAATTTCCAGAAAAATACCTTTTATACCAAATAAGGCTTTGGTATAGAAACTAAGGACACTCAAGATTACAGTTTCATACAAAGTACCATAAGCAGTACGGATTGCTAATCAGCAGCAGATTAGTGACCCGATGATTTTAGGAGACTCCAAGAATGCTATAAATTGGGCCAAGTATAGGGAATCCACCCCGTGGAAGCTATCTCACCTTCTACTTAGAATCCACAACATCTCCTACACATTGAACTGTAGCTTCAGATGGATTCCTAGAGAGCCGAATCAGTTGGCACTTCGCAGATAGTTTAGCTAGATTTGGTTGGGAAGGGATATTTTGTATAGTGCACATACATTGCCATTTTAATTGTTTGGAGCTACTTTTGTTTACATGGCCCTTTCTTTGTACATCTCTCATGTCAAGGTATTGATTATTGACCTTTTCCTTGTTTGTTGCAAAAGCTTTTTAGTACTCATACTTACCCTATCAGAGATGATAGAAGACTGGCTAGGTGGGAAGGATGGGGAGTTTTATGTTAGTTCCTTTTACAACAAGCTGACTAGGAAACAAGACCAGGAGTACCCTATGAGCCTAATCTGGTACAAATACATTCATTCAAAATTTGCCGCCTTCATCCGGTCTACCTATTTTAATAAGATCTCAGCTAAGGGTAGTCTCTTGAATAGAGGTGTGGGAATTGATTCTACAGAATGTGTTGTTATTACATTGTAAACTTTTTTTGATAAGTAAAAAAGAAAAAGCAAATACAACCTAGAGAGGTGTTGAGGCAACACCTCCCAACAAAGCTAAGGAGAAGTAGGCTCCCAAGTGATGCAGTAGGGCTGGAACAAACTAACACAAGACAGAAAGAAAGAGGAAGAGAGAGTAGAGGGTAGAGAAAGAGAAAAGAGAGAGAAATCCCAAGGAATCACTCCAAGGGGTCCTAGAATCACTCTAGGGTTTGTAGGAATCACTCCATACAGCAAGAGAGCTCTTAAGAAATCTTCATTTGTTCATTCGCCTCAAAAGGAAGAGAATGCATCTATTTATAGAGTGA